GGAGAGCAGAGTGATGTGGCCAGTTCAGGGATGGGGATTATTAGGAGGCCACAACTGGTAAAGGCCAGGGGGAAATTTGGCCAGGACGTTGGGATTATACCCCTACTCTTTTCGAGAAACACCCTGGGACTGTTAATGACCACAGAGAGTCAGGACCTCAGCGTCCCTGTCACTATACTGGGGCATAAGGACCCACAGAGATTGCAGGGTGAGCGCCCCTGCTGGCCCCACTGACACCTCTTCCTGCAGGAGCCTTAGGTTTCCCGGGAGTCTCCCAACCAGGTACTGGTCAGGCTCACCCTGCTGAGCTCCAGTGGGCTGCCAGCTGTGAGCTGCAGGATGATATAGGTGGGAGAAATGACCCCCTCATCAGCGGTCAGTGCAAGGCTGGCCCGAGGAGCCCGAGACGAATGTCCACCCACCCCCTTCCCTGGGCAGACCAGTCCTCGGATCCCCACGGCACTGCCCTTGTGTGGACCCCAGGTGACCGCGGACGATCTGCGGGGGGAACAGGATGGGATTGGACAGCAGATTCTTCAGCTCTTCCTGCTGTGTGCAGAGGCCCCAGATGTTACTCTGTGGACATTCTTGGTGTTGTGCCCAGTGAGAGCAGCATTGACCCGAGTGGCTCAGAATAAGAGCTGTCGGTGTTCTGCTGAACTAGATCTCCAGGACAAAATACTCTCGAAATAGAAGTAAATCTATGAAGTAATTAAAATGAGGGTACGACCTCATACACCTAAGTTATTTGTCAAGCAAGGGACTTTATTTTTAAATTAAATTTTGTTAGAGGTTTAAGGTTGTGGTGAACACAAGAAAAGTTACAAATGAGAGGAGCCGTTTGGCCCATCTAGCTCGTTGGGTGGTTAGTAGCTAATTGATGCCGGGGTCTCATCCAGCTGTTTCTTGATACCAGGGTGTCGGCTTCAGCCACCTGGCTGGGAATCTTGTTCCACTCTCCCACAACCCTTTGAGTAAAGAAGTGCCGCCCGTTCTTGCTTTTAATGGCACAGTTTCCACAAATTCATCAGTCCTGCCAATCAAGCCTTTTGAATATGACTTGCATCATCAGAAAGATCGATAAGTCAAAAACATTACATTTAAACATGCACTTTTGTTGGGTAACACTTTTGTTGGGTTACATTTATTTAAAATTTCTTATATTACGTTAATAATTCAGAAGTGCCTGATTCCTGGGTTTGTGATTCCTGTTGCAGACCCGCACTCCCCGTTTGCCTCCAGCAGTGGAAATCGAGTGAACATTCTGCACACCAGGAACCTGACGCTGCTGCAGGGAGAAAGCAGTAAGTGTCCAATCCCAGACGGTTAAGACTTGCACACCTAGGGCAACAGCAAACGGTGATCACGACAGGGTGAAGGAG